ATCTTTTAAATGAAAGTCAAGGTTAGCCTCAATAACCACTTCTGCTCTGACTGATTCTAAAACTGGAAAACAGAACTGACTCAGTCAGGAAATTACCAGCTGCTAATTAGAATCTGGTTCATTCTGCTCAGTGATGAAGTGCAACTCTGAAACTACAAACCAGTGAACACTGATCTGCCACCTTAAGGTTTGGTTAAGTTTACGCAACTAAAACTACTTGGTTTTGTCTTTTTATTTGACACATCAGAGTAAAGCGACTGACACGAAACCCAAAAAATGGGTAAAGGCAAAGGACAATGACATGTAATAAAGGTCCCTCACTAAAATAAAACCTGAGAGACTGCAATTCATTGTACACATCTAAGACCACAACATCACAAGGATGTCTTGCTTTCACTTTTGATGGCTTTCTTTAACCTCTTGAACTCTGATACCCTCAAGTAGGTTCAAACACAAATATATCATGTAATATTCAAGATGCCATTTTTTAATAGGGAAATACAGCATTTTAGAAATATTCTAGATGTCTTGTGCATAATTTTGAACACATTTCCCTTAGCTCTACCTTGGCATGTTTGAAAACTTCTGGATCTCCGCTACAAATTAAAATACTTTTTGCATGTCATCACTAGAACACACGAGGAAGCATCAAAAAATGACTGATTGTGAAGCTTTGTAAACAGCCTGTCAATCTGAGAAGAGCCAATTCCGTCCATTATGTGTTGTTTTTTTAGATTTACTTTCAAGGTTTCCAAACATAAGATCTCTCATACTGTAGCGCTATATGATAAATTTCACTCAAATGTTTTATACCAGAAAACTCTCTTCATGTAGCACGAGGTCTGCTCTAACGATGGAAGACAGTTTTGAACACGAGCTTAATTATTTCATGTGATTTTGCATGGATATGCTATGATTGATGTTGATCATATCAACCAAACCCAGCCTTTACTGACAAATATAAACCTCAGGTATTATTCACAAGATGTTTACACACCAGACGTTTCCTCCAGAAAATTATTAATTATAGCGAACATTAAAATATTTCTTACTGCAGAAACTCAATTACTGCAAACCCAATCAATCCACTAATCACCTGCTGAGCTGAATCTGACAGACCCTGATGCATCTCATCCAGTGTATGATTTATCCATTTTCCCCTGAAGCTTAATGAGCCTAATATTCTTTATTAGCCAAGGTGCGACCAATATAAGGCATTGCAGGAAACCCTTATTTGACAAATGATCTTTCATAATGCAAATATAACACTGTTCATTTTAGTCACACTTCAACAATATGATGCAGTAAGGTCAGAACATGTATAATGTTACTGGGATACAGCCTGAAGAAGACATGTCAACCGTCAGATGATATAAGAAAATATCTGGTGTCATAAATCAAAAAGCTTCAGGTCAGCCTGAAGCAGGTAGGACAGACAGGACGAAGTGAAACAGACTGCTGCATCTCTGCCAAAAAAAATCCTTATCACTATTCTGACTGAAGCCAGAGCAGGATCAAATTCCTCTTCTTATGTAACAAACAGTCCGGTCCAGTTTCACGTTCAGCCTGCACTGCTGCATATAACACAGACAGACTGGAGACCAGCCTGGTAACCCGCTGGCTTCAAAGTAGACTATTTGTAAACGTTTTTACTAGCCAGGTAAGGAGCTTTTGATGTTTTTTTTATGGTATCAAACTAACCTAAAACGTGTGTCTGCTTCTGCTCTAAATGCACCGATCCCAGACTACAGGCAGGAAAAGTATACTCGAGTCGTAAATGACTCTTAGAGCAAGTTTAACACATGACACTGACATACCGCACAATTTTCCTCTGACAGCGATGGTCTCAAAGACGCAGGGCTGTTCAGATAAACACAGACGACACAGTCCTGTATTAACTTTATTAATTTAGTTATAAATATTAGTTTTCTACCTTCTGTCTCCCTCCCCGGAGCAGACTGCCCGAAAGTTAACGTCCTCGACTTCACACATGTTCTCCCGCACAGTCCGACACGAACTGCCGCTGCGTTTAACCCAGCTGACCGACCGGAGGACAGCGGGCAGACAGGGAGCTACTGCGCATGTCCGCTGGAACAACTACTTTAATGTGTTTTAATCGGGATGCTTTGTTGTGAGGCATTATCTAGGACATCTGGGAGTACAACTGTTCATAAAATCATTCTCTGTCGTTAGTTCCTAATATAATTTAAATCGAAGTTTATAGAGCAGGTTAAAAAGACAACACACAGACTTTTTCCGGGACCTGACTGCATCTTCTCACAGAGTAATAATACTTTGTCACCTGTCAATGCGCTGCACTTCCTGCGAGCCATTCTTAGTCGTTGTTCTTTCGGTTTTGCTTATGGTGTCTCGCTCTGTTTGGTCGTCTTTGTGGCTGCGAGCTGCTTCAGCTATCGAATCCATCAGCACGTACACGTCCTGCGATGAAACCCCTTTGGGGCCATCGGTTTCCATGTTGAAGGCTCTCTTACAAGTCTAGCAGTTTCTAAAGCATCCTTTCTCCTTGACAATGCTGTTTGGCTCTTAAAAGGGTCTGCTGAAGGATCATTGGAGCAGTTTTCAGGTGCTGAGGTCAAAGGTGAAGCCCTGCTGGGTGATGGGGTGGCAGGCAGCGGCCGGTCCAGACTGGTCAAACTGCGGCTGGATAGGGCACTGAGCAGAGGAGAGTCTCTGACATGTTCCCCCGCTTTCCATTGACTCTGCCCTCCACTCATCCCCTCCTCCTCTTTGTTTTTTTTCTTTTTCTCCTTCAGCCCCTTACAGCTCTTCTGCTTCTGGCTGCGAGGCACAGTGCCCACGTGTGTGTACATTTCGTTGGATCGAGCGTAGCTGGGGCTGTGGAGGCAGGGCTCCATGTCATCCACCAAATGGTCCACCTCTGCTGATTTGGCACTACCAAGGCTCCCATCATGCTCTTGGGCTGCTTTGATTTTGGCCTTCTCTGTCGGGCGGCGGATGGAGAGATTGGTGAGGCTCCCAAACCATTTGAAACCTGTAGAACAGGAGGTAGGTAAATAGGGTTGCCAGAAACATTCCTTTATCAACATCATTAAAGGGACCTTTAATAATGAATTTAAACTAAGTTAACTAAGTTTGGTATTTTTCAACCTGGACCCTAGTTTCCCATGTTTTGTGTCTATGTGACTAACTGGGACAACAATATACTAAATTTGTCCACTACTGAGCGAGCACGCTGCTGGTGGCAGCAGTGAAACATGCAGGCTGCAACCCAATGCTTGCAGGCAATTGTGCCCCATCAAAGTATGTCCTCTGCTTACGTTATGTTTAACCAGAAGCAGTCGCTTTATTCCTTTCGTCAAAGCCACCAGACTCCTTTGCCAAAAAACATAATTTTTTCTCTGTGGTCTACCACTGCTTCAGTGGCTTGTTTACGTAATAGTGTGACTTTTGTGTTTTTAGCACTTTAAAACACCAAATTCACACAATAACCCAAACAAACTAACCGATCAGTGCAGCGGTAGACCAGCAACTCCTGTGTTCTGCCAGATAATTTTTTTCCTCACTTCTCTTTGACGAGAACAATATAGCCACTGTTTCCGGTTAAACTAAAATATCTTATTCTTTTAAAAAGATATATCTCTGTCTCCAGGGCGCAATTGCCCGCAAGGATTTTGTAGCATGGACTGTTTCGCTGCTGCCGACTGCCACACACTCACTCAATATTGAAAAATCTAAACATAAATGTTGTCCCTATTAGTCACAGAGACACAAAAACCTGTGAAAAAAGGGTCCTGGTTGAAAAATACAGAACTTTAAGGTGTCAATGTGTAAATTAAGACTTAATGACTTGATGATATCAAAAATAAGAGGGTGGAAAACAGAGAGCTGTTTTCTCACAAATGCCAAATACAAATCAAACTCATTATTTTACTATTTATATACACTACATATAAAATCAGCCAGTCTATCATATTTTACTCTGGACTCTTTGGTAGAGAGTTAAACGTCATGCAAAATATTTACAAAAGCACCTACATTTGCGATATGTAATACACGATACGCAACCTGTGGTGCCTGAAAGACTAGGTGCTGGACAAAAGTACGTGAGAAAAATACTTGAGCTTGCACCCAAAACATCACATGGTGGTATACTAATCTTACTAAATCTTTGTAGCATGTTTTTCTATTTTTCACAGAGCGAAACATCTCCGCAGCTGTTGGAAAAATTGCCTTAAATTCAAGGCTCAGACGTTTAAGGTCCCCAAATAATTAAATTCTAAATGTGTCTTCAGATTTTAGAGGCAGCCCGATTCTATATAACATGGAAAGATGTTATCGGACACAAGTTTGCATTGAAGTTGAAAATATTCATTAAAGTGGTTCTGGAGGGAAGTAAAAGAATGAGTTGGGGTCACACAAACACATTCACACACAGTATGTTGCCAGCTAGCTTATTGCTTTCATCTGTGCCGTTGTTTAATTCATTGTGTGAAGGAGATTTGACACGGACTGCATAACCCAGCGGTCAAATTTGTTTTGCATTCAGTCTGAACACACCATAATAACTTTCGAAATCTTCTGTCATTTCATCTAGGGCCGCTATCACACTAAGGTTTTCACTTCTCTATGATCAGCTCGCCGAGCAGTAGGCAGCCCATTGTAGCAGCTCTCTCGCTTCTATTCCTCGTTTTATGACTCTTGTCTACTTTTCATTGTTGTTAATTTCGAGCATTTTCTGTAAGCTTCACTGCTGCAACATTTTAGTTCTAGTGGAACTGGCTGGGGGAGCGCCTTTCTGTGTGGAGTTTGCATGTTCTCTCCGTGTTCGCATGAGTTTCCTTCAGGTTTCCGATTCAATGAAAAGCATGCATGCTAGCTTAATTCCCTTGACCAAGGCACTGGCTTGCAACAGATAGACCAGGTAACTGCACACTTCTCCTGACAAGTAGGATGGGTTAAAAGCAGAGAATAAATTTCTCTAAGGGTGGTGGAGGGTATTTAAGTTTTAAAAGGATTCAAAGGCTTTATTGTCATATGCAGAAATAAACAAGTTATCAATGCAATGAAATTCTTAGTTCGCTGTGTCTCTACCTGGTGCCGTCAGTTATTCTTTTGTTGTAAGCTGTTCTTGCTTACAAGTTAGGCGTGGAGCTGGAGTTCCTTCAGAACACACAGTGACGTCAGTCTCGACTTGAGAGTCGATCTCGAAAGACTTCAGAATTGACTCGGACTCGAGGTGCGGGACTCGTGAACAATGTTTATTGTGTTTATTAAGCCTGAGGACAAACTGTTTTCTGCTTTGTAATAAAAATGACTGCCTCATCGTTTTCTAATCTGTCTTTAAGAACACAGAGTCTATATCTCAAACTTCATACTGAATGACAAAGTGCAGAAAATTACTTACTGTTCTTTAAAAAGATAACATGTTTCATTCAGTAAAACAGGAAAACAACGTGTTCCTTTAAACCTTGTTAACAGAGCTGCTTAAAGAAGGCAAAGCCAGACTATTGTAAAAGAAAAGTTTGTAGCCCTCTAATCTGGTATGGTATCCATTCAGGGTCATGCTCTCAGTCAAGTAATACATTTTAAGCACAATTAAAGAGTAATGTTGGACGGTTAAGTCACCAGCAGCTGCAAACATTTAATTTCCACTTTGTCCTGTGAAAAACAAAAATGTTTTCTTTGCCTTGGAGTCATCTGAGGAATGTTTTTGTACCCTCATCTGCATCTCCCGTTTCTATTCTAAACTGAAGCCCCTCAAGCTCTCAGCAGGGTTTGATTATGTTTCTGCCCCAGGGACCTATTAGACTCTGAAAACACCAACAGATATTTATTTCCTCAGCTAAATATAGACTAATGATTTTGAGAAAGAACAGGGAGATGATGGAGATACAGATGCAAAAAAAGCTGCATTTTTATTTTCACGTTGAAGCCAGCACATATCTCTGCTGTTATGGCGTCCTGCCAACTTTCACTGAATCTGTTTGTTCATCAAGTTTCAGGACCACGAAAATATTCTTAATATTTCTACCACAAACCCCAGACAGTCTTTAAAGAAGCACAAGTTAAATCAGACCAGTTTATCTTTTAATTGGGTAAATTCTTCTTTACCCAACATTGAACCTCTACGAAACCAGGTGTTGACATGAATGTCACTGCATTCTTGACAGAGCCAAGCATCATCAAAGTCCATGTAATCCAATGTTACCTTATTTGTCATTGAGCTTCCAAAATGACCAATACAAGTGTTTTGTGATCCAACCGATCGTTGCCAGGACAACTTGTGAATTATTCTAATGCTGTTTTCTAATCTGCCTCCTCATTGGAGGGACATTGTGGGAAATACACTTCCTCTTTCTAGCGGAGAGTTAGATGAGAAGATTGATGCAACTTTCATATCTATACATTAAATAAATATAAAACTTCAGCCAGCAGCCGATTAGCTCACTAATTAACCAATGAAACAAACAAGTTAGAGGTGCTGATGATGGGAGAACGGACAGGCCGAGAGTCTACAACAGAGAAAGATTTAGCTTATTAGCTGTGTTACACCGTCCAGTTTTATTTAACCTCCTCTGTCAGAGTGTAAAGTGCTTTAACACACAGTTATGAGACAATATTACAAAAAGGTTGTTTGTGATGAGGACAGTCTCCTAAGATCCCGAAGGGCAGGGTTTGAGTTACGTGGGAGCCAGTGGGAAGAGCCATGAATGCAGTAAAATCATGCATCTGTGAGGGTCTCTAATTCATTTATCAACAACCATTATTTTGAATCACAATGTATCAATAATGTATTTTTCACTATAATTAGTACGTACTATTACTTACATTAAACAAGATAAACAGACTTAAATGAACACACTTTCTTAATGAACTACGTCTACTTTCATTTTACCATAATGGGCGGAATTGCGGTCTTTCCTTGAGCAATAGTCTTTGATGCCATTTTTCAGGCGATTAAAACGGATTGCCTAGTGTGAGTAGGCCTACACTCAATTGTAATATCACAGACATCTGGGACAAGTAGTGGACTGCTGTGTGTGTGTTTGTGCGTTGGCGTGTGTGAGGGAGAGGGAAATGTTGAATCACGTAATAAGCAATGATCTCTCACTCTCTAAAATTACCATTGAGACTGAATAAAAAGTACACAATTTATTTACAGGAAGATTACAAATGAGTATGGATTACAACCACAGAACAAACAGAACAAAATCCAGCTGACTAGTCTTCAGTCCCCCACACCCATGGGCGCCATATAGAAGGGAAAAGTTAGGACAATTCCAAGGGCCCCTGACTGACAGGGGCCCCCAAAAATAATTATAAACTAATATCAAATTATACATTATATATACCATCATCATTGAGTATAAATATATTTTAAGTATAATAATAAAATGAATGATCTCTTTGTTTTAACTTGTTTTTGGCAGTAAAAGTTAAAAATCCCCATTGACAAAAACGTTAACCTCCATATTGACCGACCACCCTCCTGTGTCTATATGAAATGGTTTAGTCCTGCCTCAGCGCACACATCAGTGACAGTGTTTAGCTGAAGTACGTAGATGCGGCAGAAATACAGTGATCATAATGTTGCCTAGTAAACCAAAATCTGGTTTTCAAAAAAGGAAAGAGAGAAAAGACAAAGGAAAGGATGTCAATCTGGAACCCAGTTTTTCCCCAAGAAAGGTGGGTAGCCTAAAGTCCATGAGTGGTGTTAACCTGTTGGCTTATTGTCCACAGTGAAATAAGCTAGCTAGCTGCAGGATCGCCGTACAGGGGTAAGATGGCGGCCATGAGACTTGCCACAGTACAAGCAGCGTTCCTGTCTGTCTCGTTATTTGATTGTGAAGTGTCGTGCTTGATCCAGCACACTCGCTCGGAGCTCTTAAACCTCAGATACACTTCTCGTAGTGATCTATGTCCATCCACGTCCCTGCCTTTGCTAGGTTCAGGAGACGCCCTTATCGGCCACCGCTTCCAGCCCTCTTGTTGTCAAATGTGAGATCTCTTCGGCACAAAATGGACGAACTTCAACTTATGTTACAAACCAACAAAGACTACAGTGACTGCTCTGCCATCTGCCTGACGGAGACCTGGCTGGATCAATCAGTACCCGATCAAGCGGTAACACCTCCAGGCTTCACATTACATCGTGCTGATAGATCACCTAAACTATCGCACAAGTCGAAAGGTGGGATCTGCATAATGATCAATGAACGCTGGTGTGCAAATTCTACAGAACTCGTCCATGTATGCTCACCTCACCTGAAACCTACATAAATATGCGGACGATACAACTATTATAGGACTCATTCCCAACAACCAAGAAACTGCATACCGTACACAGATCAACCAGGCAGTGACCTGGTGTACAGACCATGATCTTTTACTTAACACATAAAAAACAAAAGAACTTATCATCGATCTGAGACGTCAGCCATCCTCCAAAACACCTGTGCTCATTGTTGGCGAACCCATCTCCATCACTGACACATTCAAATTTCTTGGGATACACATCAGTAACAATCTTAAATGGAAAATCAACACAGATAATATCTACAAAAAAGCTCAGCAAAGACTTTTTCATCTTCGACAGCTTAAGAAGTTTAGAGTAAGGGCTCATCTCCTGCTCCGCTTCTACATGGCCATCGTCGAAAGCATCCTCATCTCATCCATCACAGTCTGGTTTGGCAGTCTTGACTCATTTTCCCGGAAGAAATTACAGCGTATCATTAACAGAGCATCTAAAGTTAACAGTTCACCCTTACCATCCCTTGAATCACTCTATCACAAACGGACACTATGCAGAGCCCACAAGATAATTTCTGATACTTCCCATCCTGCACACTTCGCCTTCAAACTACTACCCTCTAGGAGGCGTTACAGGACAATAGCCTGCAGAACAACTCGCTTTAAAAACAGTTTTATTCCAAAAGCGATACACAGTCTGAACTCTGATCTCTGAACGCTGAGGACAGTGGATTAAGCATGACCCCTCATGTATTATGTATTATATATAGTAATGTGGTGTCTGTATGTACATGTATGTTACTTTATATGTTAATGTCTAAATATCTATTGTTTAAATGTTGGAACCTGTATCAAAAAGCTGTACTGGAAACCAGCCTGGCCGTGTGGTCATTAAATTAAATCAATCAATCAATCAATCAATCAATCACTAGCATTAGCCTACATTTCATCAGTACAAGGAAACCCCTTTTAGCAGACTAAAAACTGATGAGTCAGCAGCATCCCAGTCTCCCCATAACTGTAGCCTCCCTGTCCCAGTGAAGAAGGGGAGCAACATAATGTGTTAACGGCAGGCCAGATAGCATCATTCCAGGGAGGCTGTGGGGAATTCTCTGTCTCTCTTGCTCTTAAATATGTTAAATATTTAATGACAGAAATTCAAACACAAATTATTTTCTCACATAATGATCATTATGAAATAAATAAAATGACAAAACACCTTCCTGTCTGGATGCTGGACAGCAGCTTACCTCCGCCTGCGTGTAAGTTAAAGACTATATTAAAATAAACCAGTTTGATAGGTTAATTTAGATTGAATTATGGCCATTAAATGACATCTATAGATACAGACTTTATTATTCCCATCATGATTGGCAATTTATTTGAGAAGCAAATAGTGAACTGCATCCTGTATGCAGACTTGCATGTACAAATCAACAGCAGTAAATATTGTGCTAGTACTAATATTGAACTACAAGAAGCCAGACACTTGCAAGCCTTTAATTAGAGTTATGTAAAGCTTTTGATGGGACGGTTAAGTCTTAAAGAAGTAGTGACAACAGCTGTGCAGAGGGGGTCAAATTAGATTTTTTTGTCACAGGGCCCAAAATTCCTGGCGGCCCCCCTGCCCACACCAGCTTTGAGTGTTTGTGCTAAGCTAGGTTAAGCAAATCCTGGATGTGTACTGAACCCGCAGAGATTATACTGTAGAAACTGTACTGGACAAAAATAGTACCATTTAGCATCAAGAGTGTGTCTTTTTTGGGTGGAGCAAGTGGAAGTTGATCTCCACCCAAAGATTCCTGTTAGCAGTTATGATTCAGAGATGTTTTTATCACTTTTTAAGGAAAACACAAAGGTAAAGATGTCGATGTGACTCTAAAATCAAAACTTTTCTATGTGTTTTTATTGTAGATATAGGCTTTTGACATCCTGTCAAGCTCAGCAGCACAGTGATTTGTTTTCTGTTCTAAAGTTTCGGTCCTGGCCTAACTGGAGTGAATGAACGTGTTTCAGATGCATCATGGGTGAAATTCAGTGTTAAACAAGGAACAGCAATCGCGTCAAACAGCAGAAGAGAAGCACAGTAAGCTGTTGTCCTTTCAGCAGACATTCGCTGTCTTTTCTTAGGTCAACTCTGCACTCAGCCAGGCCGCTGTCCATTCAAACTGCACAAAGACACGTCTATGCTTCATTTACAATGGACCAAAAAACTGTTTGTAAGTGGAACAGTGAACAAAGAGCCACACACACACAAACACACACATTCAGTGAAACAAGTGTCAATAGATCACATTCTTTTATAGGATGGAACAAACAACTTGCAATCATTTTTCTGATTCAGCATATAACACTATCTCCATTTATTCTAGAAGCAATTTTCCAGTGGTGGAAAGTAATTAAATTACATACAAGTAAATTTACTTAGTACTATACTTATCAGGTACTTGCTTTTCTGCTGCTTCACAGTTATAGTATCTCAAAATTATACTTAAGAACATTACTTGAGTTAGTTTCTTTCCACCACTGGTTAGCAGTGTGTGTGCGTGTGTTTGCCTGAAATGTGTTTTTTTTTCTTCTTTCCTCTCTCATTAATCACCTCACGACCCCTCACATTTATCTGGTGACTCGGGTTAATAAAGTAGCAGCTACAAATTAATAATAAATTAATTAGATTTCGCTGCAATTTTCTCTAATGATAATTTGATTATCATAATTTAATTGTTATGACAATAACCCAAACCCCTCCAAATATTCCAAATATATTAAAGTAATTCATAACTTACTCAGTTTTTGTTTGCTCATGTTTCAGTCGCTGAATATGATGACTTCCTGATACATTCATAAAAACTCCTCCACTTGTTGCTGCAGTGTGATACTGGGCCACATGCTTTTTACCCAACAGAGTGAATCTGCTTCCTGTCTTCTGAACACAGCGGAAGCGATGGGGGTGAATAAGTTGTTATGTTTCGTTGATGCAATGAAGTGACAAGTCACTTTCTGACTCACTGGAAATGTTTGACAGTCAGGAGCCACTGGATGTTTTTCAAAGAATAGTTTTGACAGGATTAGCTATAGATTTCCACTCGAAGGCCAGAGAAAGTCATTTTGATATTAATCAAATGTTCATCCTTCCCACTCAAAAAATGTATACTCACCTGAATTTAACACACAGGTCCAAGTCTTCTTTAAGACTTAACTGTCCCTCAAAGCAACCACACCCTTCAAATTTATACTGTTTATTTACGTTTGAAGATTTTATTAACATTAACATGAAGGTTTAAAGCTTTTTTCACACAGTAATTTTTTATTATTATTTTTTTGTCCCAAAAGTAACTGAAACATATTAAGTCCAAAAGTCCAATACAGTATTTTAAAATGCTGTGTGAAGAAATATTCTACTTCATACTCATACATAAGTTTACTTTGCAGATTCAGATGGTTTGATAAGTTTCCCCAGGCTGAAGAGCGTCATGTCTGTTTCCAGCTAAACAGATAATCATGTAATCTTTGACTGATCTGAGAGCAGGAAAATCCCCACAATGGAAATGAGACACACTTGGTCAGACTCTGTTGGTCAGAAACTGTTTACACATTTAAGACATCATAAATGTACCTATCTGACACAAGGACAGTTTATCTCTTTTTCTCTTTCCCTCCTTAAAATGAAGTATTTTACCATTGTGATTTTGCTTGTCAAATACTGTCAAACACTTCCTCCAGGTAAGGGCTAATTATGAGTAAATTTGAAATATTTTATGTCAAAATAATTTATACGTTGCTGTAAAAGATGACTTTTTAGCACATATTGCTCCATAGTCAGAAGAACTAGAGCATATTGTTCACGTCAAAACGTCATGTTTTAGCTCCCTCTCTAACCACTTCCTCCAGATGTTCTTAACCATGACACAATCAAGAAAACAAATTGCACACAATAACTCTTAAAATATTTTTTTCTTTCATTATTTATCTACACAAATCAACATCTGTTTGTCTTGAGGGCCCACATTAAAATGGAAAGACATTTCTAATTCAAAAACTAAGATGGAATCAGATAAAGGTTTAATAAGAAAATGGGACACAAGAAAAACAAAAATTAATGTTGTTTAATTTCTTAAACAAAAAGTACAGATTAGAAGAATTTCGCTTACTGTTTCAAATCATTATTACATTATCACATATTACAGGTACCTGACTGAAGATATTGGAAAAAAGACTTGAATCTTTAAGTCTTAAGTTGAAAAGATTGAAGAAAATTATCAGTAATATTTCATGAAAATGTGTAGTTATATCTGTGTATATTGTGGGTTTTTATATATTGACATCTTTTTAACGAATAAACAAAAGTTCTCTCTGGAAGTAGAAGGGGCATTATGGAGTTTTCAGCAGCCAGTACCGGTGCGGTTTTAAGATTGCAACCAGGCGTGTGCTGGTACGCGTGTTCGCTTGAACTCATGAGCGAGTATTATCCAAAACACAACCGCTTTCATCCAGACAACAACATCAACACCGGCATGCTGGCTGTGGCTTTTCTCACAGTTCAGGCTCTGTTACTTCAATGTACCCGGCTCAGAGGCAGCTCAACACCGGCTCCATACCTTTCATACGGCGCAGCGAGACACCAGCATTTTGGCACAGTACTCCCGGAAAAAAAAGACAGTGTGACAGCGGCTGTAAACAGACAGGGAGACAGCTTCACACAACATGCTGGAAAGTCAGGTAAACTCCCACTGAAACGTTACAGTAATATTTTTATAACTACATAGAGCCCCTTTTAACTTGCATCTGTAATTTGTAGTGCAGTTTGTCAGGGGGGCTGGAGCCTTTTCCAGCTGACGTTGGGCGAAAGACGGGGTACACCCTGGACAGGTCGCCAGTCCATCGCAGGGCCAAAATAATATCTCACTTTCAGTTATTTAATAAAACCAGGGCCAGAGCAGAGTATTTTGTACTGTAACAGCTCAGTAATGTTACAAAATATACTAAAATATTGAATATGTATGCACCTATTAGTTATGTGAATGTTACTCAAAAATAGTATTAGTTTTGCCTACAACTTGTAAGTGAACTCCTCTGGCTTGCTGCTGATATTTTCCCTCTTTGTCTTCTGTCTGTCAGATTAAATAATAATAAGCATGCTGAATGTGAGCAGGCTCTCCTTCAACAGAGAGAAACATAGAAAAAGAAAACATGGAACCACAACAGGAGGGCATTTATCACTCTCCAGGCTGTGTGGGTAGAGGCACAGAGCTGTCAACATCTTGCTACATTTCCTGTCAGCACTTCCTGGTGAATCCCAAAACCAACTGAGTAGTTATTTTACATGTAATTTCATTGAGATTTAAAGTGTCATTCTTAGAAACAGCGTCATGATGGTTGTGAAAGATGCAGACAAACTGTATCCAACAATGAGCATAAGCAATAAAGTGAAGGAGCTGATCCGGTATAAATATTCCCGACAACTGTCGACCACAGCACACAACATCTATGGAAGTTCTGCAAGTAAAAAAGAAATGTTAACAGTGACAAAAACTAAATATTTTACATTACTTATTATGAGATAATAGGGAACAGTTTTGACTTTGTAAGTCAGAGTTATGTGATAATAAGTCAAGATTTTGACTAACTAAGCCTTGAATTTGATCTTCATCTAATTTTATTTTACTGGCAGAAATGGGCTTCCATACGCATTTGCCACAGTTAGTGCTTTTGCCTATTAGTTGAACACAGTGCTAAAGTACAATACTGTACAAAATTAAAATTAAAAGCACAGCTGAATGTTCAAACGGTGCTTTAAACGGCACTTATTGTAATAGCTGCTGGAGTAATTGTGAAATCTTTCATCTTCTCTCTTAATATAAAGGTCTGATTTTTCCTCCCACAAGATGTTCAGCTCTCAGTTGTAAAATTCACATCTTGTAATGTGTGTCTTGGTGGCAAATTTGAATATTACAGGTTTATTATGGAACTATTACTGCTTTAATGTGCGTTTCTGCATGTTATGTTTGGAAACAGGTGTATTTAATGCACAGACATGAATCTGATATTGATGTTCTTATTCACTCTAGCTAGACCAAATAAGTGAATAAGTTAAAAAATAAAAACTCCTCCTTGTGCACCTTCAGAAGTTTTTCATAACCTTTCACACTGACTGGCCTGTTGTCAGATATTTTACCAAAGGAAAAGTAGCAGTATCACACAGTAAGAATACTCTGTTTCAAGTAAAAGTCCTGCATTCAAAGTGGAATGAATGTAGAAGTACATTAAGTCAAGTACTATACTTCTATTGTACAAATCTAAGGTACTTTATGTGATCCTTTTCTTTTCATGCCATGTTATACTTCTAATTCACTACATCTCAGAGGAACTATGTCATCTTCTATGCAAAAACATTTCAAGATTTACTTTTCCTTTTAATTATTTGAATAATTTGAATGCGTGTTGATAACGTTGAGGTTTTGACTATTGGTTTGGAACAACAAGCATTGTAAAGGTGTGACTTTGGGCTCTGCATTGTGATGGTATTTCTCACTATTTTCAGAATGTTTACAAACCAAACAAACGATTAATGGAGAAAATAAGTTGCAGCCCCATAAAAATGGTTCAAACTGAACTTCACCTCAGCAACTACAACAGCAAAATCCTGCTTTTAATGCTAATGTTGTAAAACAGCCACAGGGGACATTTTACTGCACTGAGTACTTACAATAATTCATGTACATTTTCCTGGTTATACTTACATAATTTTAATTAAGTAAAGTTTTCATTTCAGTATTTTTACAGTGTGGTATCAGTAGTTTTATTTAAGTAAAAGACCTGAAAACTTTCTCCAAAACTGCTCATTAGGCAGCAAAATGGTAATGCTACGATATCATATACGATATCATATACTATATTATTTGATTAGTATTTATTAATACAAATACTCAAGTAAAGTACAAGTACCTCAAAATTGTACTTAAGTACAGTACTTTAGTAAATGTACTTTGTTTGTTTCCAGAAGTGCCTGTTTCTGGTGTTGAACTGTGTTTAAGCACAGCTGGCAGACATGACATGACTTTCTGTCTGCCACAAAACAGTTGTTGTGTCGTCTGAACAAGGACGGCTCAGAGTCACATCAGATGAATGAAGACTGTATGTACCAAGCAAATCGTGTTACAGTTCACAAAAATCACATAAAGAAAAGTGAATGAATAGTTATGAATTTGAATGTCACAGCTGTGATCTTATTTATCAGATTGTTCAAATTTGAGCTTCTAGGATCCCACTGCTGTGATAAATAAAATATCTTTGCTGCACAATTTAGCTTCTTACAATTAAACTAAATGGGTGACTAAAAGTAGCAGTATCACACAGTAAGAATACTCTGTTTCAAGTAAAAGTCCTGCATTCAAAGTGGAATGAATGTAGAAGTACATTAAGTCAAGTACTATACTTCTATTGTACAAATCTAAGGTACTTTATGTGATCCTTTTCTTTTCATGCCATGTTATACTTCTAATTCACTACATCTCAGAGGAACTATGTCATCTTCTATGCAAAAACATTTCAAGATTTACTTTTCCTTTTAATTATTTGAATAATTTGAATGCGTGTTGATAACGTTGAGGTTTTGACTATTGGTTTGGAACAACAAGCATTGTAAAGGTGTGACTTTGGGCTCTGCATTGTGATGGTATTTCTCACTATTTTCAGAATGTTTACAAACCAAACAAACGATTAATGGAGAAAATAAGTTGCAGCCCCATAAAAATGGTTCAAACTGAACTTCACCTCAGCAACTACAACAGCAAAATCCTGCTTTTAATGCTAATGTTGTAAAACAGCCACAGGGGACATTTTACTGCACTGAGTACTTACAATAATTCATGTACATTTTCCTGGTTATACTTACATAATTTTAATTAAGTAAAGTTTTCATTTCAGTATTTTTACAGTGTGGTATCAGTAGTTTTATTTAAGTAAAAGACCTGAAAACTTTCTCCAAAACTGCTCATTAGGCAGCAAAATGGTAATGCTACGATATCATATACGATATCATATACTATATTATTTGATTAGTATTTATTAATACAAATACTCAAGTAAAGTACAAGTACCTCAAAATTGTACTTAAGTACAGTACTTTAGTAAATGTACTTTGTTTGTTTCCAGAAGTGCCTGTTTCTGGTGTTGAACTGTGTTTAAGCACAGCTGGCAGACATGACATGACTTTCTGTCTGCCACAAAACAGTTGTTGTGTCGTCTGAACAAGGACGGCTCAGAGT